TTGTAGATTTATGTTATCGTTCATATCTTCTTCGTCAGTCAAGGTATCCACGTCGGCTGGAATATAGACCGCGCCAATATGTTCTGTAAATATTTGTTCACGTTATTTTTAGCATAAATTTACAAGGAATGGAATGCTACAATACATAAGAATACGTAAATCCAAATAATACTTACGACTTTCATTGTTATTGTTCTCATCCGTCACGATCTCCTCCATAGCCGCCTCTAATTCCTTTTGAGTCAAATACCTCGGAAATGCCATATTTTACGAACTGTAATGTTTACTGCACAAGGGACGAACTAATACTAAAGAACACGCTAATTGTTGGATGTTTATTCTATATGCGCTGCTACTGGCAATAACAACTGGGACAAAATGGGTTAATGTCTGACGTCGAAATATGACTAAACAAAGTGGATGATAGGAGATACAATGCATCGAATGGTCAATTTGCTTATAGTTTTTTATAAATAATGTGCTGTTATTTTTGAAAATGCTAATGTAATGTAAGAGTTGATTTTAGCAGTCGGGTCTGGCATACCTTCATAGAAATATTTACTTTTTTACTGGCGATAGACTGCCACAAGGATTATAAAATCCTCAAATGTATTCCTTTCGAATTTCGAATATAAGCTTTTCATTTAATTGACACTCTATCTCTCTGACTCTAAAGTCTGGGCATAGAGTGGGGCGATCTTTACAATTTTTTTTGCATCTTTTATAGAGAGATGGTAATTCACATCCGGAAAAGCTAACCAAAATCTTTAAATTGACGATACTGTTATATATTTATTATAGTAATTATATTGTAGATAAAATATGTCCTTTAGTTTAGTTTTCGTCACCACGGTATTTCTTTATTTATTATTTTTTATTTATTATTGGACTAACGATAAACAATCCTACAATATATTTATTTATTATGATTCTTACGGACAGAGTTCATTTCTACATATAAACTTGTACAGCCAAATTACAGGTTTGGCTGCTATAAAAGTAAAACAGTATCGTAAAATACTTTACAAGTTAATATGAAAAAATTAAAATAAATGAAGAATGAAACGATGAATGAATTACATCCATACTTGGTCCTGTGGTATGGTACAAAAAATGTGCTATCTAGACGAGTTATTTGTATTGATGCCGTTTTTCACAGAATGCAGCGACAAAAACAACTGCAATTATATTCTTGATTTTCCCTATATTTTTTGTATTTTCATCTTTCAAATTGCCTAATTATACACCTATCTAGCGGGCGGAACGTGTCATTTTACGTCGTTTCCCACGGCTCCGAGTCACTTCGGTCATTTCCGGAATGTTACCGCACGGGTTTGGGAGCAATCGGATGTTTTCGGAGATTTTATCGACGGTCGTAGAAGAAATATATTATGGGACACTGGTTATTAAGCACTCGCTCCGCTCCTGCGAAATAAACTCTTGACTTAAATGCCGTTTTCCACGCTTGTTGCGTAATATGCTATTATATTGTTGACAATCTTTATTTTATTATTCTTTGAGATTATGTCGGCCGACATAATAAGAAACAGAACTAACCAAAAGTCATCTCTTCCCGAAAAGGGGAGTCATCACGAAGTAAAAGTTTTGTATGTCGGAATCTGATTAGGGTTGGGGCTGGTCAATTGACCACTTCTCAATTTACTATTCAGATATGTATTTTATATTAAATTATTATGCGTTTGTCATGTCAAATTTACCTATAACCCTCTGCAAGGAATACCCGAATACGATACTTAGCGATTCGGGAAATCCCAAAAAAAATATCGAGTTAGTTCTCAGATTAAACTAAGTAAGCTTCATAAAAGACATCGGTAGTAAGATATGTACTTGCACAAACGAACTTACTCATTAGCACAGAATAGACAAACAACCAGAATTGATAACTCTCAGTTTGCGTGCGAAACTTTGGTTAACCTGAAAAGAAAGATAAGACTCGCCGATGAAGGACTGGATGGAATTAATTCATAGAGTATGCATTTAGTTCATAATAGACTTTGTTCAAGTTCAGTGGCTTTTCATATACTGTATGACGAACCTTTGTAGTCCTCCGCGTTAATAAAAGAACTCTTCAAAAAATCTAAGCATCAAAAATCGGTCATGGTGTATCAGTTTCCGTCTTTAATAATAACTTCATGTGTTGGTCCATGCAGGTGGGTCCTTAAAAAATATAACAGTCTTTTTAAGAGCAACACCCCTTGTAATTTTCTATTTGTTGTAAAAATAGAGTTTTACGGGAAAATATGTGTTTTCTTTACACGGAAATTATATATATAATAGTTGAGTCGTTATTGAGTTGGGGGCCAATAATATAGCTTTTTTTAAAATTTTTGGTGTATTTTTATATTTAATAAGTAGAAATAATGAAATAATTGTTAATTATTTATTATGTGTTACTAAAAGTTTATTTCATTGTTGATATGTTTTTTTTATATAGATTATGTTATTATACGTTTTTGGTAATATCTAACTTAAATGAATAATATCTGTTCGATTTTTGTTAATTCTTTTAAAATTAAATTCATGTGTGTTTATGTGCTGGGTTCATGCGTTTTTAGTATATTTATGTTCATTTATATGATTTGTTCAAAATTCAAAAAACTTACCGACGGTGCAAAAATATGTTTTTATAATAAAACAACCGATTAGACGGATAGAATCGCGGTTCCGTGAAAAAAAAAGTGGCAAAGGCTCGTTTGTCATTTTTGCGATCATTGGCGTGTGCGATTTTGACAAGGCGCTCCTGTCACGAACCATCAAATTTTCGATCAATCATCCGCGGTCAAATTAGTCGTGCGTTTACGCGATAATAATAATTATGCCCTTTAGAAAAATAGAATAATTAACCACGATCGTTTGTGCGTTTAAGAAGATCGTGTCGCGCCTTATTCACGGGGCAATTTAACTCGGGAACAATACCAAGGCGTAGATTATGGTGTGGTAAACGCATCCGGTCACATAGGCGTCTTCTTTTTTTCTAGCTCGGTGTAGCATCGCGGTGGAAATTTAAATAATTGTTTTGGCAAGAAAAACCCTTGCGAAATGGCCGACGGTTACCTGAGGGCGGTTTTGAAAAACAGCGTCAGCGAAAGTACGTCAAAATGTGACGGCGGCGTCGGCCAACAAGGAACGCCGTCGGTTTGCTCGTCCGTGTGCTCTAGCTCGAAAAACAGCTCGATCGGCGATTTCGAAGAACTGGACGGCCGTAAGGGTTCGCACATTTCTGCCGTCCGATGTTGGCATGAATTTTTTGGGGGGAGAAAAAATACGCGGTTTTGCAATGAATAAATCTGACTTGTTAGAAGAAAAAATGTATAAAGCTCTGAAATTCGGGCATTGAACTCCCAGTAGGACCCCAAATTCAAATGGGTTGCATTAGGATTCCCAATGGCAGTTCAATACCAAAATTTCAAAACAATAAATTATTCTTTCTATTCGCCGTTTTTACGATCAATTTGCTTGGACTATGCAGGGCATGAACAGCGCATATGGTTCTGCACAATAAATTTCTGTTTAGAATAATCTAAACCTAGCAGTGTGGTTTAAGTATGCCCAATAAATTTACATTTACAGCGAAATGATGGGTCATTCAAAACAACTTAAAAGTTTCCTTCCCAAAAACATAGCACACTTCATATTTTGCTCAAATAGACAAATTGTAATTGTGATTGTAAAGTTGGTTGATTGTTAATTTAATCATTCGAATAAATTTCAAAGAATCCACGGAAAAGGCGTACTGCGAACCGTTGCACTTTGCACAATGCACAAATTATAAGACAGTTTCGGTTTGAAAATTTTAACCATCGTTGGATTAATAGAAATGGACAAATAACGTGTCCCGCTAAGCTGCCAGAACTAGTTTAATGAACAGAATTACTTAAATCAGCCAACACTATGTAACCCTTCAGGAAAATACACGTATAATAATGATTAAGTAGAATTCGCGCTATGTGCCAATTGTGTGTCCGTGAACAATTTTGTTGTAGAATTTGTTGACTAAAAAATGGTTATTAATGTTTTATATTGTTTTATTTTGCCTGTAGACACTTTAGTACCTATAATTCCACAGCCAGCTTACATTTTTCTTATATAAAATTGCATTTTTAAAGACTGGTTTGCACCAGAACTGCATATCGATATGTCATTTCAAAGAGAAAAAAAACTTATTTATGAAGAGGGAGCAAAGAAAGGCGGTAATTCTCAGTTCCTTTGGTTTTTCTGGCGAAGTCAAGCTTACGCCTATGAATGTAGGCTTTGATGTGCCAAAATATTCCCTAAAGAGGTCAAAAAACTTTATTTTTGTAACAATAATAACACTTTTAGTGTCCTGATGAACTCTACATTCATGGGTGAAAACTTGAGTTCATAAGGAACTGAGTGTTTACCGGCTTTATTTGCTCCCTCTTCATACACAGATTTTTGGGGCAATCCCGTATTTATTGCGTTGCTTTATAGTTGCCAGTAGCCTGTTACTGCCTCTCCACTTTTATATATTTTTATATACTATTTTCAGGGTGTATCTGAAAAGTTTGTTGACAACACCACTCGAATCAACTAAAACCCATTGTAGTTTTTACATTTTATTTTCTTTCTGGGTGTCTGAAGAAATATGATACCACCCCAAAAAGCGCTAAATTTATATTTCGTTCTGTAGGTAGAGAACGAAACAGGGTGACATCAAAGCTTCCCAAAATCGCCAATTCCTCCTCCGTTTTTTTTTTTATTTTCAAAATATTCATAAGATTTTCGCCTCTACCGATTCAACAATACTTTTTTCCAACAACATTTTTAGCTATAATTAAAAAAAAATGTTGTTTTCTTTTTGTGATTCACTGCCATTGATTATTTAAAAAAACTTATCCTAAAATCCTTTCTTGAGCGGCAATTTTTGCTACGCTACGTTATTACTATATTTTGTTGATGTATTTTTGCCAAATTGTTTACATATATGTGCGAATATTATTATATGTTTGTTGCTCCAGGTGCGATGGGCTTGCGCTCTCCCAACTGCCCGATGAGGGGTAGAACCGTGAAAGAATACGAGGAACAAATGACCAATCTCAAGAAAGAAAATTTCAATCTCAAGCTCAGGATTTACTTTTTAGAAGAAAAACTGGGAACACACTTTACGCTCGACAGCGAAAATATTCTTAAGAAAAATATTGAGTTTCAAGTAGGTATTTTTATAGCGATGTAAGTAAAAAATAGAAAGTGCCTAACCTAACCCAACATTTAAAATAGTTGCTATACGTCCATTAAAACCATTTTTAATTGAAACGTGACACCAAAGTATCAATACCGTTGTAATATTATGTGCATTGCCGATATCCCAGCAAGAGTAAGCAAAATTTCCCTGTTTGCTTTTTTCTATTTTGGCGTTTTATCTTGCGGTTTGACGTGTCGACATTTTCAGTGGTTTTCAATTATGTTCGATAAGATAAAGTAAACGTGGAACTCCTGCTATAAGCGTCCTATGCTTTGGAAACGTTGTAGATAAGAAACGTATGCATATACAAACCCACGTAAATATGATCCAACCGTTAAACTGTACTGGATATTGGTCGCTTCTATGCCATGCAATTGTGGTTGTATAAAAAAAAATTATCCGTTTATGTCAAACGTAAAGAACATTTCATTTGTCACTTTTAAAGAAAAGAAGTCTGTAATAGATTTAATTTATAAAATGTGGTAATAATATATGAGTGTTTCTGTTTTAAGTGTGATTTTTATGTCTTGTTATTATTATATTATTGTATTAATTAGATGATCATGAACATAATTTGTCATTCAGAGAGAACCGTCAGTAAATACCGTGTCATGTCCATTACTAAAATTTATCTATAAAGTTTTTTTTTCGTTGTTGCAATAAATGGCTTAAACTAATTAGCTCATAAATTCTTAGTTCTATGATTAAATTAAAAAAAATCAGTGAGTTCAGGTTCAATAACTTTTGTCTTTAAATACATTACTCGAGCGCCATATACCTTAAGATTTATGGAAACGTCTAGTCATCTATCATCAACTCATATAAAAATTTTAGAACTCAAATTTATTTTACATCAGTACCGTGAATAAATGAGTCGGGACCGTGGAACGGAAAATTTGACAGTTATTTCTTGTTTTTGACTCTTTGAAATCTTTTCGAGCTTTTTTTTACAGTAAAACACATGAACAATATCCACACAAAAATTTAAAAAAATAGTTTTCAAATCCTAAAAATTTCAAGTAAGAAAATAACAGATAAGAAGAAGGGAAACATTTGGCACTCACAAGTATGCGGACAATATTTGAAGAGCACACGGGAAAAACGATCCAAATCTAAAATATCTAAAGTCTAAAGTTTATTACACGAGATAGTAGTTCAGCATGCGAATTTTTTTTGCATATAATAAGAGCGCATCTAAAGAACATCAAAACTACTACTTGGAGTTACCAACCATTGACAACAATAAAGTGATTATTGCATTTGATATTTACTAATTGTTTTTGGACCAAAATTGCTGCAAAGCACCAACACTCTTCAGAAAGATGAAAACATATTGCTCACATGTTAGATTGCCTTTCATTTTTGACAATTTAATACATCTGTCTAAAAACAACAAATAAGTGGCCCACAGTAGGTATTTTTGTTACCTAAAGTTTAAGCAAAATTTGTTTTGGAGTTGAATGATTTTTTCATATATTTTTATTATTATATATACAAGTCGCCTCTTAAAGACAAATAGAAATTCTGTTTTTTTTTAGTATAATAACAGTTTGCAAACTTTAAAACTGTTTGGACTTAAAACCTGCCTAAAGTGACTATTTACCATGGGATTTTAATGTATTTAAATCATAGAAATGTACAAGGTGAACCAAATTGGACTTTTTCGAAGGGAAGCTCTACCTTTTAAAGTAGATAAGAAAAAGATAATAAGAAAAGATGTTTTGTGTTTTTGGTGGTTTAATTTTTATAAAAAACTAATGGCAAATATCGCAAGTGATATTTTGCACGGGTTTTTCGGAAAGAATAACAAAATTAATGGTAGTATCATGGAACCGTAAAACTCGGTCGCCTTTTTAGATGGAAATAGCAAATCTTCAAAAAGAGGTCAGGGAAAAGCACGAACTGCTATGCCAGGCCGTCAAAGCGATGGAGTTGGAAGACGAGGAGCACAAGAAGTATTCGCAGCATAAGGAGCAACAAGCGCTTGAGATGCGGCAAGAGCTAGAAGAGTTGAGGACGCAGTTACACGTAAGTAAAAAACATTCTCGTAGTCTTGGAATATTGTGTAGGGCTCCTTGGTCTAGCGTTTTTTCACCCGTTCGAAAACCGCTTTCTAGGAATCGAAAATTGCCAGCACCGGGATGTCAGTTAAATCCGAAAATACCGCGCATTCGAATAAACCCAACGACGACAAAGAGGAGGACAGTTACGTTACCCTCCTCGAAGAGAAGCTGAGGTGCATGGAATTAGAGGTGCAATTCCTAAAAAATCTGATATTGGGTGATTCAAGTATTACACTCCTTTGAGTTTCGGAATAACAAAGAGAATCCTTCAATAAGTCATTGGAAAAAGGTTGAAGTCTTTTTCAACATAATATCTAAGCGTTTTTCCTATTTTTTAACAGTCTAAAGGAAGCTCCTCGAAATGGACATTCTTTTCCAGTCGATATCCAAATTCCATAATTTTGGCTATCGTAACTGGTTAAGTGTGCACCATCATTGCCTTGATAAAACAGAATCTTTTTCTTTTTCAAGCTGGGGACAAAACAATGATTCATAATACTCTCCTCTTATCATTGTTCCCTTTCCCAAATAATCAATGTAAAGGATTCCTCGAGCATCCCAAAAAACTTGGCCATAATCTTACCGATCGACTTGACCTTCTTCATCTTTGTGGCTAGTCCGCCTTAAAAAATTTCTACTGTTCTTTTATCTCTGCAGTGTAGTAATGTATCCATATGTATTCAGAGTCCACTACATCCAATTTTTTTTACAAAATTGAAGCCGCCTTGCAATAAACCTGTGGCCTCAACTATTTCGCGTACTTTGATTCGTTGGTCAGTTGATATCGTATAATAGATTTTGTCATTGATCATTTCAGCTGAGTAGTTAGGAGTGCAAAAAAATTTACTTTCGATAAGAACTTATTGAACGACCCTCGTACCTACCTACACCCAAGGTGTTCGAAAAAAAAAACAGTGGTCTTTTTTTATATTGGTTTTACACTGACAATTTTTTCATGATTTAATTCGTGTGGGCAGGAATATTAATTTCAAAAACATGAATTATGATCGTTACTTTTATATGTCCACTCAAATTTAATATGACAAAGGTTTTAAATTAAAGAAATCTATACATTTGTAAACGTCACTTTTGACATAAAAATCAATATCTGGCTGTAAGGTTTAGGTATAGGATATTATATATGAAATAGGCCTAAAATTTTCCGAAGAATTCAAAATTAATTTAATATACTGGGTGATATATTTAAAATAAGAGAATTGACCATGTTAATTTTCGTATTCTGGGCAACTACAAACTTCACGTTTGTTGCAACGGTATTAAGCATTAACATTTCGAAGGAAGTCAAAGTACAATGTCAAAATAATATTAAATAGTCAGCCGCAATTCAATGTTAATCGCATAGTTTTATTTTCCATTAAAAAGACCGGCAAGGCGCTGGGTAGGTCCTAGTCCAATGTTTACTTACATTAAGTGGGAAATAAACACGCGTATGGCATTTCAACGAACCAGAAAAAAAAAACAATCCATCGCCTTTTTGCTCGTCGTTTTTGTTTTTGGTGCCGTTTGAAACAAAACGAGCAGTCATTTGCTACTAGTGTTCGCGTGCGTGATAATATTTTTTCCCCGCCCATTTTCTATAGAACCAGTTACACGTCCAGAACGAGGAATCCGCGCAGTTTTTCTACGACCAGTCGCACTCGTTGCGAAACCGTGTGGAGCTCCAGCAGAAGGAGCTCCAGGCAAAAGACGAGACGATCGACAGGCTCAACCGGGACATCGACTCCGCCAACGAGCGCCTGGTCGAGTTTGCGAAGAAGATCAAAGACTACGAGGAGAAACTACAACAAGCGCACCGCGATTCTCAAAACCGCGCAGTCAAGATTCAAGAACAGCAGAAGAACCTCGAGGACCTCTACGAGCAGTATTCCGCCGTCGGCCAGAAGTATTCAAGCGCGAAATACGAGCTCGAAAAGGTAAACCATCCGAATTAAGAGTCTAATGGAGGTGCTTTTCATAGAAACTGTGACCTGGTATCAGACTCGTACAGAAGAAGTGGCGCCCAGAAATACAGCGGCAATAAATAATTCGATTAAAAAAAAATTGTGAAAAATGTGGAAAGAGGTAGATTAATTAATAACCTCACACTTTCAAAACGTTTCCTTCAAAAATTTTTCGCTTCTTCACTTTTATTTCACTCGGTAGTGTAATCTGTAGTGGACCCTGAAGTTCGTTCATTAGTAGCAATACTGTAAAAAATACTATTTGTTATCCGTAACAAAAGAAATTTAACACCGGAATAAAACTAAACATTTTCAATTCTTGTCTTTGTGGTAGTTAATATTTTATTTCTATTTCTAAACTAAACAGATCTAAATAAAAAAAATCTACAAACCATAATGAAAACAGCAATAAAAAAAGTTTATTTTCGAAAAAATTTAATCGATTAAGAAATCTTATTAATAGTAGCTCAACATAATAGTAACTACATTTAAAATACTAACTACTAACTAACCAAAACTAACACTACCTATTTAAGTTAGTCATATTCCTCCTCAATAATGTTCGCGTCGCGGTCACTTTTATATTTATGAATCTTGCAGCACTGAATATTCCTTACCTTATTTAGTAATTCCCGAGCTTTCAATAAAAATCAATTCTCTGAAGAAAAGTTGGCATTCTGTTTACTTCCCAAGGATCAGATATGGTTTGCAAAATTGTTGAAGAAAGCAGCAATATTGCTGTTATTCTTGCATCAAGTTTCTGAATGTTGTACTACCAGATTCAGGCAATTTAAGTAAATCATATTTCATAAATACCACAACATTAAATTATAAATAAATTATTGATGAATTTGTATCTAACGCATGAAAATGTTATTATATTATCGCTAATAGAAGTCGTTTTAAAAAAGTTCCAAATAACTTCCGCCAAAAAAATCCGCCATTTTGATTTTTTTTGTTATCCAAACTTTCTGCGGTTTTTTTTTGAAAATATTGATTGTTGTCGAAAAGAATAAAATGAAACAAGTACAAAAAATTGGATAAGAAAAAAATGCGGATTTTGTTTTTCCGAAACCTATTAAAAAAAAAAAATCTTTCAATCAAGACCGTAGATTACTGCAGGGGTTTTTAATCCAATATTTCTTAGGAATCATTGAATAAAATTATTCATATAGTTTGAAAGCGCGGAAGTAACAACCTTTTCTCTAAAGAAAAAGTAAAAACCAACTTTTCAGAAAAATTGTGTAACTGTATTAAAATTAATTATTATTAAATTAAAATTGCTTGTTTCTACACTATTTGTAGCTTTTAATTTTTTAAAGGAAACGCTGACTTTTTTTAAAAAAGAACAACAAAATAACCCTGAAAATTTTGTGGATAAACTAGCAACTAGTAGTGTAAAATATCCAGGTAACCATATAATTAACTGCTGACTGGTCGAGATTTTCTCGAAATTCTCTTCTGTGCAACAGTAGGTTTGGTAGCAATGAGTTGGGTTTCATCCAATGTTTCACGTTTAAAGAAACATTTTTTTATTTGTAGCTAAAACTATGCTTTTTCGAAAAAAACGTTTCGTATAAAAATACCTACAAAATGAAATGCGTTTTGAGTGGTTCGATCAATAAACAACAAAATTATGAAAAGAAACGTCTAAAATAGCTATATTGAAGCTTCATGTGAGCCATAAAAGAAATCCTGAAAATTTGAAGTAAAAATATTCAATATTTTTCGCTTTTTTTTTTAATTTTTTATTTGAAACGATCCGGAAATTAAAGTCCTATTCTAGTAAGATCAACAAAGAAAATGAAACATTGATTTTAAATTGTTTCAGTCGTTTTTAAATTAAATCGTTTTTCTAGAACATTTAATATGACATCTAAACTGAACCCCGATGAAGTGACGAAATGTCGGTGGCCATATTGGTCGTGGAACTTCGCTATGGTAAATAGCCCATTCATTTTTTTCCGTAGTCGCTTCAAAGTTCCTCTATTATCAGCACAGACAGGGCCAATGTGTAAACCATATCCGATGCATTTGCGCGATCTGCAATAGATAATACCACGGTGTTGTCGAAACAATTGTCATGTCATAATATATAATTTCGTTGAAATCTGAACTTTTAGTTCTTATTTATTTTGAACTTGCTGAGGTTTCGATAGTGTTGGCTTAATCGGAATTTAATTGAAGCTCTTGCTCCACTCTCTACCTGCTTATACAGGAAGTCCAAAAGTGTGTCAAAGTAATATATTTCGTTTATTATTTGTTTTAGAGCAAAATGTTAAATACAAAAGTTATATATGAGATTAAGAGAAACAATTTAAAATTATTTTCAAATATAAATATGTGCAAATAAAAGTTATATTTTTAAAACGCAACACGCTGTACGTTATGTCATTAATAGATACCCTTTTTATACTCAATCGCCCAATGTAGGGTTGTTATGGTTTATACCGAGCGTTTTTGGATTTTTTAATACCCTATCTATTTGACGTCGTTTCCAACAGCTGTAATTTTATTATGCCAACAATTTTATAAAATGATACAGTTAATTATTCTATATTCATCTTGAAGTTGGTTCGAATAGTTTATGCAGGGTGAGTGAAAATGAAAAATATTAATTTTCATAAAAAAAAAACTGGAACCCCCCTATATGCTTTACTTCCATTAATTACGAATATTAACTCTCTTTTAATTTTATTAAGCATTCCCTATACCTAGAGTTTGTATTTTTTGAGGTAGACACATTTTGACGAAATGTCGAAAAAGGATTGAGAACAAAATAAATATTACTTGAACGTGAAAAGTCTATAGAGCCGAATGAAATATAATTCTTTCAGGAAGTAAGATTTGTTACATGTTAATGCGAAATGTAATGCGGAAATATTTTTTTAATCCGATATTAAAAAAAATAAAATTATGAACTGCGCAACTTGGGAAAAACACTTTAAACAGTATTTTACACTGGGGATAATGTTAAGAATGCAGTATCAATATTGCAAATAGTCCCACAAAGAACACTTATAAATCAAGAAAAAAAACTGCAAAATAAAGAAGAACTGTTAAATTAACTTTCACTTTAATTATTGCTTGAGAATATAATAATATTAATAATCATTTAGCCAACTTATATTTAGACAAAAAGACGCGATCTGAAATTATTATTTTAGATTATAATTATATAATTATATTATACTATACTATAATATAATCATATTTTAAGCTTTAAGGAAATACAGAATTTCTAAATTAATGGAAAGAAAGGAAACATTTTTTTCAAAAAATTTAAAATTTACCTATTAATTTTTGGCTTATTGCGATATTTTCTCATTGTTGATGATTGTTTGTGATGTTCAACTTACCTGTAACCCACTTTAAGAAATACTTCAGGCAGATTCAGGCAATCCGAATAAAAAAATTGCACTCCATTTAGTTCTCAGAACGATGCCACGGCGACATAACAATATAAATAAATATAAATTTAATTGCATTTTTCAAATCATTTCAGTCAATTGACACAAAAAAATTTGACTGCTCAATTCGACAACCCTAAATACGTACATTTTTGGCCATAATTCCAAAAACACTCACTATAGACCATAACAACACTACATTGTGATTAAGTATAAAAGCTGGTATCTACTAATGCAATAATATACAGGGTGTTTCATTAAAAACATATAAGTTTGGTGTCCCACATGTTTATTAATCATATATAAAAATAATTTTAATTTTTTTCTTTTAGTCTTATGTATTTAACTATTTTTTCTAAAAAACAAATAGTAAGTGAGATATTACTTTGACATACTATTTGGACATCCTGTATACTGGTTGAGGGAGGCGAAGCTAAAGAAGGGACATGAACATTGTCTGGGATGACTGATTCCCATATTGGGGGGAATTACCGTACTCCGTTTTTAACTATTAACAGAAACGTCTTCAAAAAACTATGATTTATCTTCGTTTTGCACCAGGTGTGTAGAGGGATTACATATCATTATTTTATAGCCAATTAAGTTAAACATTTAATTAGTAACTTTTTTGGTCAAAAAGCGGCGTAAAGTCTATCAATTGACGGGGCTACCTTACCCCAGTACGAAAAATGCATTGCGAGTCGATATTTGTGGCAAAGTTACCCCGTACATTTCATTGACTTTGATCCAAATCATATCTCAATCTGATAAATACAGCCACAAAATGTGTTTTAAAGATGTTTTTATTTCATTTAAATATAAATCCTGAGGAAATAACTGAAAGAAATATGATCGTTATGAAAGTTAAAAGAAAATTAATATATCGATTTAAAAATAGTCACAATTCACTTCAAAAACATAAGAATATTAAACGGTAGCTTTTAAAAACGACTAACTGCTAATCCAAAATGTCTTTCAACTCTGGAACAGCGAATATACCTCTTTTAGTAACTTACTTATATGGAGACTAAAATGTCGTCCCAAGAATAAGAAAATTCGCCTGGTTTAGAAGGCCATTTCCACATTTTCAGTGACTTTTCGAAAGAGCTAATAATGAATTTCATTTTCATCAAAACTGTATTTTTTAGTTGTGGGATATAACCACCCTCTCTTTGTAGTCTAAGAACTTGTTTTTTCTACTCTCGTCTGTAAAATACCTAATTACGCACCGATCTAGCGTGCGGGAGGCGTCGCTTTACCACGTCAGTTTCGTTTCCCATGAATCCGAGCCACTTCGGACATTTCCGGGATTTTACCGCACGGGTTTGCGAGCTATAGGATGTTTTCGAAGATATTTCCCATGCTTTGAATTTTGACGTTTGTCAATTCTGAAATTCATGTCAGTGAATGTATTCGTGTTTTGCGAAAATGTACCCAAAAAGCAATGGTCGTAGAAATAGTATAGTATGCAACACGTTCGGTAAATTTTTTAACTCACTCGTTTATTAAATACCGCTCCGCTCGTGTGAAATAAACTCGTGAGTCAAATGCCGTCTACCGTACTTGTTGCATAATATACTATTCTGATTCTTGCTCTTCACTCAGCTCATCAAACTCTACGTCGTCTCAAGAGTTATCATTGTGTTGGATCCGGTCTTCTTCCTGCATTTCGCTATCCAGTATTGTCTTATTATTTTCTTCACTCTCTGGATTCTCAACGCAAACATTTCCCGGCTCAAATATTTAGTTTTTTTCTACGATTTCTAGCGGTTTTTGTCGGTTCTACTGGTTGGCTTTGAAGTTTTTGTAAAAACAGGTCTTAAACATCATCTGGGTTGTAAGAAGCTCTTGGAATGCGGTCTAGAACATCTTTTGGATTTGAGGGGACCATAGCACATTTTCGAACAAACGCTTTCAAATTATCTTCTGCTTTTGGTGTGATTATGTCCATCGTTTTCGAGAGATGTGAAAAGTTTTGTTTCTGTATGTTTGTGTTACGAATGCATTCATCAGTATCCTTCCACTCCGATAGTATCTTCCTCCATGCTATTTTCACAAATTAGCTTACTCGGTTTTGACGGCATATTTCTAATGCATGTACTGTAAGGCGAGAAGGCAGATTATCACATAGCATCACTTTTTTGCCTTCTAACTTTTTTCGATCTGGAATTATCTGACATTCCAACCAGTTACTACAACCTGTCCACGTCGTCCACATTTTATTGGCTCGATACACCATGTAAGGAAGTAGTAATTCACCAGCCGCACAGCAGAAAACATAACCGATATTGAAGTTTTCCAAAGTTCCAAATGTTTGTTGGTGGAACGTCTTTTAGCTTATTCCATTCCATTCCATTGGTTCTTTTTATATTTTCGGTAAAGCGTTGGGATAGTACAGGAAATCTAACTAAAAATCCTCAAGTCAATCAGCGCCCGGTAAATAATTCTACCTTTAATTTCCGTCCGTATCTTGCTAATGCTATGATATATTTTATTTAATCCCCCAACGATATGATGCACTGTAGAAACTGCCTTTCTTCAAGGCTACATAAGGGTTGATTTCCGTTTTTTTTGGAATGTTTTCCTTTTAGTTTGTTTTGTATTGTTTTTCTAAGAATCTTATACATTTTCTCAGCATTTCTATGTGAAATACGTCCATTTCTTGTATACAGTCAACGTTCGATTCATGGACAACCATCGTAGGAGCAATCCAGCAAATTTGTGCAGTAGCTGGTGTAATCTTTAACAAAATATCAGCAAGCTTTTGGATATATAAAAATATTAGACTATGTTATTCACCCAAGTTATACCGTTTGCCGTCGGGAACGGTTTTTTTTTGAGGCTGTAAATTTATAAGAAGTAATTAATATTAATTAAACTTTGTGGTATCTGTGGATAGACCTCATTGACCCCCAGCTTCGATAAAAATTTCAACCTTCTCAGAGCAACGTAGGTATTTTAAGCAATCTTGTTACTTTCGAAAATCGACCCTGATCCGACGCCGGTATCCATCTTTTATTCGCGATTTTCGACTGTTTTTTGGACCTTGCTATGAAACACGATAAGTTTCCGAAATTTGAAGCAATCGACTACATATTTCGCACATTGATGTGCATTTTCTATAAAGATTTGAACCTTCTCGGATCAATATAAGTAGAGAAATAATCTTAAAATCTCATTTTAAATGGAAAAAACAGTTTAAAAATCAATGATCAATATTGAACGTTTTATATATTATTTATTAATAATTTTGAGAAATTGAAATTTATACGTTAAATACTTTGGTCCTTCCTCTATTCAATGATATCAAAGAGATTCACACAAGTTATACCGTTTACCGTCGGGAACGGTTTTTGTGTGAGGCTGTAAATTTATAAGAAATAATTAATTATATTTAAATGGAGGAGGGGCTGGGGATAACTTTATGGTATCTGCCGATAGACCTCATTGACCTCCATTTTCAACAAAAATTTCAATATTCTCGTAGAAACGTAAATATTTTAAAAAATAACAATAATGCCTCCCTATGGTCGAGTTTAATGCCAGGTGACCAAAGTGTACCAAATATTAATTCGCGCTTGGATTAAGGAGAGAAAGTCGGCGAGGCAAACGAAAATGATGAGCGACGCGAAAATCGGTGAGCTGGAGAACGAGCTCGAGAAGAATAAGCTGCGCGTGAAGGATCTGCAGAGCAAACTGGACCGCGCCCTCGTCGAGGTCGAGAAGAGCCAAAACCTAGCGGTGTCTACGAGTCCGACGGCGAACTCGCGCAGCTCGAATATTGACGGTTATCTGGTTTCAGTTCCGGACGCAGCAGCATCTGATGGAACTGCGCAAAAGGACTCACTACATGTACCGCTAAACGTGTCCGGTACGTCGTCGACGTCGTCCTCCGCCGCCACCACCCCGGACGGTCGTTGTTTGTCCGCGTTCGAGTCGCTGTTGAGGTCGCGCGACGGCGGCGAGCGACTTTTGCGCGAGTTCGGTGACGTCAGGCGCGAGTTCGTCGCGTACAAACAGAAAATCGTCAAGTTGAAAAGTGAACAGTTGAAGGCGTGCGAGATAATCAAGAGCATGATCGACATGAGGAACCGGGCGAACGAGGAGATCGCGCAGCTGAAGAAGACGAAGACCGACCTGGAACGGGAGCTGGAGACGCGGGTGGCGCCGCCGCGCGCCCATGCCGCCGAACTCGACGCCCTACCGACGACCGGAACGCCCCCTTGCGAGGTACTAACGCGCGTCACTGACGATTTTGATAAGCGATTTTACGGGAAGTTCCACTTTCCGCTGTAGAAGTTTGCCGCTTGCTGCCGCTTTATTTTTTTTTTTGGCTTGATCCTCGCCTTTTTTTGTTTGGTTGCAGAACGGCCGCCGCTATCACAGAATCGACTCTAGCTTCAGGCGGTTTTTGAGTTTTGCGTCGGAACGGGGGTTCTGCTTGTGCGGTTACAGATGTTGATTTTTTTTACTCAGTTCAATTTTTGCGTAATTTTCGAAAATGCTGTAATTTCTTACCATTTTAAAAAATTTTGCACAGCCATTTTCGAAAAAATTAACTAAACTAAAATTACGCTTTTTCCATGTTCTCCGTTCCGGGTGCTATTATGGGTGTTGCATTTTACGTGTCAAATTGTAAATTTTTGTTTTGTTTGTTATCATTTGAAAATGCTTTTATTTAAGATTTTGAAAAATTTTACCCAGCCATTTTAGAAAAAAAAAGCTTATAATCTCCGGTATATTTCCAATTATAATTATTGCAAGTTTAAAATTCGGGCGTCTCTTAAATTTCTCCTTTAAAAAATGAAAACACGACATTGTACGTCACAAATTGTAAATTTTGACCCAACAACTTTTTTTCTGAAAATTTATTTTTAGTTTTAGTTCAAAATTAAATCTCCACTATTTTTGCTATTTCAAGTTTTAAATGATTTCTAGCGATTTCGAAAAAGAAAATACTTTGCCCATTTCCGGTACTGTTAAAGTTGCACTAACAAGAAAACTTATCAAATGAAAAACTGAAACAATGTTTCGTTTGTTGAAAACAATTGTTAATTTTTAAGTTAAAAAAAGTTTCTTGACAGTAAAAGATGATCACTTCCTTACTAGTTTCAAAGCCTATTTTAATAGGACATTGCCGTGTACAATATTTGTAGATTGAGGTTCCTTAGATTTTTATTAGAATTTAACGACTTCTTATTTCTTATTGGAACATCCAAATCCTATAAACAAAAAAAGAATAAAACTAAAAATTTCAATATGTTCTCTTCGAAATTAAACTTAATCAAAATCGATCAATTAATTAAAATAACATTTTTAAAAAATTGTGGTGTTGAACCAGGGTTATCTATTATTCGAACATATTTCGCAAAATTGCAAGCGCCAAATTGACTCTTCAACGCAAAAACTCTACTAATATTTTATATTATTGTCGTTTTTTGCCTATTAAACGCATTCTCATGCACTATTTTTGTGGATTACTATTTCATTTTAAATATTGGAATTGATTTTGGGCACCCCTGTATACACAATGCCCACTTTTTCAATAGGATGGGATGGGTAATTTTAAGTCATTACAGATGCAGAGTTGTTTAATAATACAACATAATGGATGGATAAAGGAATATAGAAATATTGAAAAACCAAATTAATTGTTAATAAAATTTTAGCATTTCCTTACATTAAAATGAAAAAGGTTCAAAATGAGTTTTGTTTTGGACAAGGAGTGTCATAATTTTTGAACTACTACTACCAACATTGAAAATTTTAATAGGACACGGTATTTTTGTACTAGTTCCAAAATTATTTTAGTTTTTTATAACGAATCTGAAAACGCACGAAAATAGAGTGTGCTCTATTTAATATTTCGATCAATATAGTAGTTCAAAATTGGGATGCATTATTAACAAAACAAGTGGATTGTGGATTTTGCACCCTACAACTTTTGTAAAACTTTTTTTTGTAAGGAAGGAAATACTAAAATCAATGAGTTTTATTTTTCTAAAATATTTCTTGATTGTTGGTTCAGAACATTATGGATCCCATTTAACGGGCTTCCCACACAATCAGTGGCATTGAAAAAGTGGCCACCATGTATACGTCATTGTGCTAGTAGTAACTTGTTTATTTTTTATTTTTATTGCGGATGATCCTCGGATTGTGTTTATTGGCAAACAACGGAAATAGGTCATTTGTACCGGAGGCGGCGGCATTGCGTGCAATAGAGCGCCATTTTGGAAGATAAGCATGACGCGCTCATTTGTACCAAGACGATGTATTTGATCCGTTTTTATGTTTTTCCGTTAAGTTTTGTTCCAAGGACCACCTCTGCGTTTAAGAGATTAATCGCTAAGTCGGATTTTAAACACGGACCACCCTGTGCATACTGACGCTTCCCATCACTCTGCCCCGCGACTCTGTTTACTAGTTCCACACGTACACTAAAACATTCTGCAGTTATTTTTAACCAGAGCGTCGTCGCGGGTTCATTCTGTGGCTTGTCGAACTTTCGGCCTGCCAAGTTTTAAGTTTGGTCTCGCACCTTTTTTTTTCATTCCTTTTTTTTTTTTGGTTTTTCGTCGCGTGGTTTTGACGAAAATGTCATAGAGAAAGCGATTTGGCGGGGACAAAGGTAATTAACGGCGGCCGCGCCCCTAAAGGAAGTCTTCCAAGCATGCCTGTGCGATAATTTGTGATATTTGATCGGTTTAATTGGTAGTAGTTTGCCGCATGCGTTTATAAGCTCGATTTTACTACAGTTGCATATTTTTAATTTTTATCAATTTGTATTTTTGTTAATAATAAACTTTTTGCATATCCGACACCATGCATTTTATTGCTCTGTGCTCCGGTGACGGGTTTATTTTTTAGCGTTTCCTGGAGCTTTTTGTAACTTATTTAGGTGGCGAGTAGTTCCATAATTCAGCATATAGCGCGTTGAAATTTGATCCCTTAATTGCGAGGCTCTACTTAAGTGCATGCAGTTTTTTTTTGCATGAAACGGAAAACGAAAACAAAAACAAATAGCAAAGGTAAAATGCAACTCTCACCCTGTGCGTGCATACAGACAGGCTCTTCGCTAAAATGTCAAAACTATAATTTGCGTAATCCTTGAAAAAAAAAAATGTTTGCCAGAATTTACAATATCAATAAAAAAAGTTACTTAATGACGTTTTTGCGCTTGAAATCATAAAAAGCCATACCTTATTGTTCCAGATTCCATAAGATAAAGAGCATCTATTTCTGGAAAAAACTGAACACTGTACAATTAAAATAACAACAATGAAAATATCAAACTGGTAGTATTTAGCTCGTTGAAATTTGATACCTTAAATTTCAGGCAAAACATCATAAATAGTTTGTAAGAATGGAGTCCACTTGGTAATTATTTTTCTTTAAAAAAAATGTTTCTATTAAATTTGGAGGCTTTAAAATTTGCACAGAGCTCTTTAAATATAACGTTTCTATGGTATTGTTGTCATTAGTTTATATATATAAAAATTATTCTGAATTAGTGTGAATTTGTAGCAAATAGCAAAAATAATAAATAATAAAATAATAAAATAAATTTTAGCAATGAAATTGAAAAAATTACTCTCATTCTAGGTTAAACAAAGCGAAAGTAACAAAACTCTACTTTGCATAATACTTGAAAGGAGAAAACGTTTTTCTAAAACTCCTAATATAATAAAAAATTCGTTTTTGACGTTCTTGTTGTGCAAATCATGGCCATATAGTACTGTAAAGGGTTGGGGGAAGGTGGTTGTAAATCACCCTCAAAACTTAAACGGGAAAGAGCGGCAAGAAAACGGTAGGACATACAACACCCGAAACGATTAATCAAAATGTTATTCAACCCTTGACAATTACTATGGCCTTTTTTTCAAAAGATAAAGCTTGTGGTGTATATATCACAACAACAAAAATTTGAACGCTCTATATAAAAAACATCTATTTTTTACTCCTTACTCTAAAATATCCAATTATCGACCGATCAGGAGTGCGCAAAATGTTACTACAAGATTTGTTACTCACGGTCGCGAGCCACATTTTCGATACTTTAGTCACGGATATGGGAGCGACCGCATGTTTTCGTGAGATTTTAACCACATTTTGATATTTGTCGCTTCCGGTAGCCGTCACACGTCACGTCGCTATACTTACTTATATTTTTCAAAAGTGTAAAAAAAAATCGTTTTTGAGTATGTACCAGAAACTAAAAAAAATCTGTAATTTTGAACGCTTTGTGTAAGCAACAAAAGATAAAGGAACTAAAACATAAAAATAGTTCGCTAAATAGAAGGCAGAATGTTTTCCAAATATTTGATAGAATTTATATGACTTTGACGCATTTGAAGTTCAAATCAATAGATAATGCATATCTACCACAAGCTAAAAAAACATTTTTCTCCGTTAAAATGGAATAAGCTGTAGCATATACAATTTGTTTATTTGATGAAATTAAGGGTTTGAACTAACATTTGACAGCTACTTGCGCCTTGGCTCTGCTACACACAATGTGAGAAAAAAAAACAAAGCAATTAACAATTGGTTTCAATGAGCGCTTGAAATAGGGCCTCAAACGTATGTTCGATCGGAAACTGGTAAGGAGAAGAAAGTTTTAAATTTAATGCTAGCCCCGTAATAATGAAGACCATTTCTGAATACAACAGTCGTTTCGTTTCTAATCACCTCTGTGTTGTTTTTACCAGAAACAATTTACCGGAGCGGAAACAAAACATTCGGAGATGGTTGACCAGTACAAAGCGTTAATAGACTCCCTAGAGGCGAAAGTCGAGGTACGTTCTGTCATTTTCATCCTTACAATTAAATTGTTAAATTCGACGACGCACATTTCCAACTCGGCAGGTGTTAGAAGAGACGGTCAACGCGAAAGATTGTCAGTTGCAGAAGGTGCGAGATCACTACGAAGAACTTCTCGAGGAAAAAGACAACAGAATCGTCGACTTGGAGTTTGAGCTTCTCTCGGCGAACCAGAGTTCAATCAAGGACAGATCCGCAATGGAGAAAAGCGACTTTGGCACGGAAAAACGCAGCTCCTTTTACCGGCAAGAACTCGAGGAAAAAGACAAGGAAATCGAACGCTTGAACAACGAGCTGAAAAAGTGCACCTGCTACCTCCAAGAAATCGTAAACAAGGAACTATGGGAAAAGAATCGCGAGATTGAGAAGCTTCACAAGAAACGCGAAAACGCGGGCGACGTTTCGAAGCTTCGCAAGGTGCTTTCGTTGAAAGATGTCCAGCTTCATGTGCTGAAGGAGAAAATTTCCGAGCTCGGTCTCGAAATACCGATACCTGATGATGAATCGTTACAGTGGACGTCGCAGAATACTGAAGATCGCGTACGATCTCTCGAGGAACAACTGGTCAGTGCTAATGAAAGAGTGGTCGAATTGGAAGGCGCCGATAAAATTATCGCCGAGTTGAAAGCGACCAACCGAGAATTGACTCGCGAAATGCAACAGTGCGAGCAGCTCAGGTTGGAAACAAACGAAGTGTGCTCGGTCCTCGGCACTCGGCTCGAAGAGTTGGCCGTATTTCTGGACTCTTTGTTAAAACAGAAATCAGTGTTAGGATTTCTCGGGTCAGCGAAAAACAAAAAACTGAGGGAGATAATCAGCAACAGTCTGGATTTGTCTAGGTCGTTTTCCGTGAGCCTGATGGGCAATCCGGAAGAAAGTCTGGCGCAGCTGTCCAACATCACGGCCTTTCTTAACGGATCCGTATTCCAGAACCTAAGCTTGGCCGACGGTTTTGGTAAAGTAGACGAGGAGAACAGCCACTTGAGCATCATACCGTCCAATATAACTTTAACCTACGAAAGTCATTTGTATAAAAAGAGGGACGATGCCGAACCCAACGACAAACAGGTGATCGAGGCGTTAAGGGAACAGGTGGTTAACTTGAAAAGCGAACTGAAACTGAGAGACAATGAACTGAGCAGATTGAACAATAGAGAGAGTGGAATCGAAAAGTTATCAGAATCTGAGGAGGAAAAGCGGCCGTCACAGCTCTTCACTCCATCCAAGTCTCACACATCAGCGACCTTGAAACCTCATAGCGACGTCCAAAGTGAGTCGGAGGCGTGGTCTGAGCCGGATCGGGTCGTGTCTAGGTAATAAAATTGAACATTGCTTAAGGTAATAGAATAATTATTATTTATTTCAGAGCGAGAATTGGATTAAATCACTCCGCTCCGCTTCCGTTTTCCAAATCCAAGAGACTGAATTATAACGAATCAACAGAAGACGACGACCGCTGCCAGAGCTTTACTGGGAGCAAGAGAAGGGCTAGCGTCATCGAGCTTCACCAGGAGATCTGTCGATTAGAAAACGAGCTCAAGGAGAATAGCCTCGCAAACCAAATATACTGTGAAAAACTGCAAGACATGAACCAAGAAGTGGACGAAATGAAACAACGGCTAGCTCGAGTGGAGAAGGAGAAGCATGAAGCTGACCAACAGATCACCGATCTAAAGAAGACGGTGGAAGAATTATCGTACTTAAAGGCCAAACTTGAGGACGGCGCACATTCTAGAAACAAGGAATTGCTGGATAAGATTAACTGCCTGGAAGCTGAGAAGGAAAGCCTCCTGAAGGATGCGATGGCGTTTGAGAAGCAGGCTCAGAACGCTCAGAACGAGATGCAAACGATGAAAGAATCCATAGCCGCGATGGAAGTGAATATCCGAACCGAGTATGAGAAGGATCTTATTGGGAAATTGAAAGACGCTGAAGATGTGTTTATCGCCAAAATGAGAAAGGTGGAGGAAAAATACGAAGTCGAGATGACGAATATGTCGGAGACTATCCAGCACATGCATGAGGAGTATGATAGGGATTACGTAAAGAAGAGCGATGTGGACGTTAAACTCAAAGAGATTGAAACGTTGGCGTCTGAACTAGCGGATCTGAAGTTAGCGGTTCAGTCTCACGAAGATACTATCGCCGGTTACAAGCGGAGGGAAGCGGAAATAAAAAATGCCATTCAAGAGTATAACATTCAAACCGGCGCGCTCGAACGGCAATACGCCGACGCAGTTCTCGAACGATCGAAACTGAACGGCGAGAAACTTATATTAGAAGAAGAACTAAATAAGGTCAGGGTGAAGGAAGAGGGTGCGCAGAGGGAATTAAAAGACACACAGCATCAATTGATGGACGTGATGGAAAAGTATCAGGAGCAAGTCGCGACACTGCAAGGTCAACGGTCCAATTTAGAACTGAAACTCAGCGAATTAGAATCGGCAAATGCGGATTTGCGCAACAAGCTAATTAAAATGCAGACCGGCAAACTGAACCTGAACACGTCGATGCCGGATATTGGAAGCAGACAGCTAGTGCCTTATAAGAGACAATGTTCGGATCAAAACTATAGTTCGGAGGACAACGCGGAAGAGATGAGAAGCTTTTGTTTTGGCAGATCCATTGCTCAACGTTCTAGAGTGGAAGCGGAGAGAACCGAAGCGAATTCCTCGCCCGATTTAGGTATAGAAAGCGACCACGGCAGGTTTTCGAGTCTAGAGACCCAGTCCAATAACGTTCCGAGGCCATTGCTGCAGACCATTGAGCTGACGGAATCGATGAGCAATTTGTTTGACGAACAGAACAACCAAATCCAAGCGCCATCTTGTGGTGAGTTTATATAACTTTCAACTTCCTCCCCCCAACCGCTTCTCTCTACTCTATTATCTTATTTTTTGTTTTTTAAGCCAACCAGCACTGTTGCCAAACTTCCTTAGACATCTCGCGCGAAAATAATGAACTCAAACGGAAACTTCTGAGGATGAAACGAGCGTTGGAAGAAACTGCCACTCAATTAAGCCTGGCCAATCAGAGGAAGAGGCAAGTGGAGAAGACGATATGTAAACAGATTCACAAAACGAGCCAGGTGTTGCGGAAGGCCAAAGCCAATTTGGATTCTGGTTCCGAGAGTGAAGTGTTTCGGATGTAGTTTTTGTGGGATTGTAAGTTTTTGTTTTTGTAAATTTAAGTTTTAAAACTGTAAAAAGAGTGTACACAATAAATTTTATTTTTTGCAAACTGACCCAGAAGTTTAAGAAGAATGTGTCATTTGTGCCAATAGATTGAATGATTCAGGTTTAGTATGTTAGCAACTTTAAAACCAGTATTTTTGTGATATAATGTACATAAATATATTTTTAATAATTTGTATATATAGGGTTTTACTGATTATAACCGTTTTTTTTAGTATGTGAGTGTGTTAATATATTCCTTAAAATATTTTTATGAAATGTACTTACCCAGCAGTTTTTTCCAAAAACAATATGCTACTATAAAGATATTAAAAAGGATTACCGGGTGTAGGTTGCATCAGAAAAGCGCAGAAAGAGAGAGAGAAAATATTCGATCTCGGCTGGGCTAGGCTGCTCTGCTCATTTGCCGTTTTTACGGGATATGCCGAGGATAACTATAACCAACATTTCTTCTCAGCGTGCCATGAAGGACGAACTTTATAACAGATAAACGACCACTCCCGTTTCAACCACGGACCATCCGACTTTCAACCGGCGTGAATGACAAACAGCGGGGCCGACAACAATTACACACTTTAAAACTTTCACTTAACACTTAGGAAACCACGACTACACAATTGAAACTAATATCAAAGTTTTTTGGCACGATTACAAAAGATTCTGTAGCGCCATGTGCAATGCCAAGTACATAATCGAAAGACAGTATGAGAGAGCGAAAATCTGCTTACTCTCGCGTGTGCAAGGCGACTAAGATGCTCCAAACACTAGAATGACAAATTTTGTATTTTTATGAAAAAAATTACAAAACAACTTAACAGATATTAAAAAGAGGTTGTGGATCAATCCAATTATCAATGTTTACTGGCTATTTATTGACTACAATAAAATGTCGAAAAATCTTTGTAATTCAACATTATCAACGGTTACTGGTTATTGTGTGAGGCATTAAGGAGAAGAAGGTAACGCCGGATTGCAAAAATATATCCGCAACTGGCCGAATGATTGTAGTAATCTTGTCTAACGATTAAGACATCCTACAAATAGGTTATGTGCATTTTATGTCATTTGGGTCTATTATGGCCTTTTTACAATATGTTCAGGGGAAATAATATCGCTCACAGGAAGCCGTTTCAGCTTACAGCGGTTCAAATCGCCGAAGACGTAGAAGCTATTAATGCCGACATCGAACAACGACAGAAACTTTACCTGTGCTTAGATGAAAAGCCTCCGCAAGAATATAGGTTTGCTAAAGTGCAAGAGTTTATGAAGGACAATGATAATTTGGAGGAGGTATCCAAAAACTTGTCGTCTCTAGCTCTACAACTAAGTCAGATAACCCAAGAAATGCAAGCTGAGCTTGATAACATATTGGCAAAGGCTGAGTTAGGTTTCAGTAATTCAACATGAAAATGAAAAAAATGAACTAAAACAATCAAGGTATATAAATATATTTTTAAGGTTACTTTTGTACATTGTTTTCTTATAAGTAGAATATGGATAAAATGAAATATAGAATACTGAATCCTGATAGTGTGTTACTATGTGTATAATATACCTGAGGGGTGTCATAGGTATTATTAAATATTTAATTCTAATTCTAAATTCTAGTAATTTTTGGTTAATTGCACAATAAAAGCAAAACAAAAAAATAATACTAGATGGAGAAATCAACAAATACTTCTTTGCAATTAAACACTACTAGTTGGGAGTGTGGGGAGATGTATGCTTCCAAAGACTTCAGACTGGACATTAGGGTCTGCTATGTAAAAACAACAGGAACCTGGAAAATATGAACAATAACCCTACTAATGATTGTACAAAAAATTGCATATTTGAGTTTTTCTGTGTATTTATTTTATTAAAAATTTTAAATGATTGTCTTACCTATGAACAAAATATCCCTTTCAGTTGAAGACCATGGAGTATCATTTTTGAAACAAATTATAGTATTGTGATAAAATATATATTACTCTCTCTTTAAACATAACCAACATAAGCACTGCAAGGTCTTCAATACATTGAATTTTTTTATCCCAAAGTCCAATAAACTTTCTACAAAATTACCACATTGGAAAGGTAGGATGGCAAGTCTGATTAAATGTCAAGTTTGGGATTGAATAAACATTTATTGCACAGGTCTATATTTTAAAAAATTAGTACAATACACGTATTTTTTAAATATGTTAGGTTTCCGATCTCACACGTTTAATCTGTGGGAAAATATTGTAATCCCCACTAATCCTAGGCAATCTAAAAGGACATAGACGTAAATGTATTTAAATAATAAGTTATTAAATTCTGGTATAGTTAATTCACTACTGTCCAATCACAACGTAATTTTTGTTGGATATAACAGTGCAAGAAGGTGGGGTAACCATCAATGGCTTATCTATCGGTACCGGTACTGCTTATATTAGAATTTTAACGTTAGAGATTAAGTAAAATGAGTCGACAGTTCTCAGAGTGATTCACATACGTGGCCTATAACTGTTTTGATTAGCACACAATTTAATACCTTTAAAGAATTGTAATAGGCCACGCATGCGAATCATTATTATTATTATTATTATTATTAGTTTTATTCCCCAATATTTCCCGATCTTCATGCTAGGTTAAATAAAAAAACTTATTAAGTATATTTATTACATTGAAACCTTACATTTGGTCAGATAATCATCCTCCTCTCTACTGAGCGATTTTTTGCAGACTTTCACTTTGAACCCAAACAAGCTGACAAGGATTTAATGAATACTAACATTAACAGCTTTAAAACACACAGCAATTATTAAATAATAAGTTAATAATTTCAGCAACCAAAATGCGGCAACACAAGACACAAAATGAAGACAGGGTTATTATGAGCGAAACATGCGTTAGCCAACAAAGAGGTAAAATTGTAAAAAAAAGTATTACACTCTAAAAAAGTCGATTAATTACTCAAAGTAGCTAGTGCTTCCTGAATTATAAAAGCAAACCATACAGGGATGTCGCAGGCCTAAAAAGAATAAAATTGTAATCACCTTAACGTTTCTACACTGCATCGCAATTGCCTACCTGTTAATATTTAATGCGCATGGATTCCAAGCGTACGCAGTTATTATTTGCCACTGACCACCAGTATACCCCCAACGAAATCAAAATGCGCAATACTAAATGGTTAGTAAAATTAAACACCTAGTCGTTTTTAATATAATTTTTATTGCTTTAAAAAGTCTTGTAAATAATTCACAGTACATTGGACGGAATGCAATATTCAATTCTTTTAAGTACAATACAATTAATTAACTAATTGCCGAACAAGACAAATTATCTTGTTGAGTATCACTATTGTTTAAACAGTAACTATTTGATATGTTATAGTACCAAAACGCATATTTTAGTGTAAATATATATGACCGACAATTATATTCCTCCAAAGATATCCTTCGCTTCTAGGTACTGAGATTTTTGTTTGTAAAATAGAAAAATTATTTTGAAACCTATTGCAGTGTATCCCCATTTAATTAATACCCTTGGAGATTCTAGCAGGCTGAATTTCAGAAAATAAACATCTATATAGGATGGTTACATGGTTCAACTCGATCAGCACCTTTTGTAAAGCAAAGATTATGCAAAAATAGAAAGATCTCTGGTGATTCATGATTTTGTACTACAGCAATTCAAGACCAAAAATTTTAAACAATTGCAAAAATGATCTTAAACAAGTTAAACCAGTCTATAGGAAAAACCAACTGGAAAAATAATAGATATTATTTTCTGATTGAATTAAGCTGTCATTATTACAATCCCGATGAGAAAAAAGCTATTGGAGATAAGTTTCAATGACCAGGTGAATCTCGGCCTCAATACATTAAACGGTCGCTATCAATCTGTGGTTTCGCTATAAAATTTCCAAACCCAACGCGAAAAATGGCTTTGGTAGAGTGTGACTGAAACCATCACCAAAAGCTTAAAGGAAAACGTACATGCTAAACAGGATTCTCGCACATTTGACGTTTGAGAAATTTTAGTCTCAAAACGTTTATTACCGCCCTGAACATATTGGAATGTTAGCTCTGACTTTACCAGTTTTGCACCATTCCCATTAAATTACGTTAAATCCCTTAGCGACCGCGTTATTAGTACGAGTACCCGTTTGATCCGGAAGATGGAACAAAGACTGCAGGGTTAACTTGCCTGTCGGTTTGCAGTGCAGGTGTTCCTCTATGTATTGACATGGACACGTGATAGAATTGCAGTGGCGACCTCCGGCTGCGGGCGGACTAACTAGAAGATCCTTAACTCTATCCCTGCCCCAACGGGCAGCGTAGCGGAGGTACAACAATGCAGCCCTTTCCTGCAACAACCGATGACTATGGGAATGGTGACGAAAAAAAGGTCTCCAAAATCGAACTATTACCAAAGTGAGTCCCTATGTCTCTGTTAGGTGTTAATTGAAACCGACTACGCACGAAGGAAATAATTAGAGACGAGGGGACGGAAAGTAAGAACCAAAGGAAACAAAAGTGTGAAAACAACAGAGACGAACGAAATGTTACTTTAGTAAATGCCGAGCCGGGACATGAATCTGGACCATGCGGGACAGCAGTCGCGCCGGCTATCCGAAGGGGGCGTTTTATTTGCTAAAATGTCCTCGGTGTATTGGCACGGGCACAGGGCGGCTTGGATATGTCTCGGGTTGCGCGGGTTGCCTATCATCTCGTCGGTTATCCAGTCGAGACGTCGCCGCAAAAAATCCTTACCCCACCTCTGCAGATAGCGGAGGTAAAGTTGTTCAGCCCGGCCCTGTGGGATAGAAAAATGGGTGTAGGGTGGGGGGCGGGCTGGGATGCGCGTCAAATTCATTGGTTTGGAGTGGCTGGGTAGGTGGGATTTTTTTAATTACAAATCAAAACTAATTGTCATTTTAACACTTTTGTTTCGTTATTTACGCGATTTTGGCGCTTTAAGCCATGTTAAAAGTTTAGTAAGTCGAATAATTTAGTTAATTGAAGTAAACGAGTATGGAAGGAAAACACATGCGCCAATCATTTAGGACATCAGCAGGTACGAGAAAGGTCACTCTAAGCGCCGCTCAGAAACCAACAGTAACAAGCAAGAGCATAGTCAAAAAGTGTTTGGGGGATGCTTGATGCACACATAACATTAACTTGAGGTTATGGCAACAAATTTTACATGGAAAACAATTTTCTTTTAAGATGACACAAAATTAATTGGTAATTACAGCGCCAATCAACGCGTTATTTAAAAATAAATAAATAATAAATTTTGGTGGTTCCCTGGGTGGTTAGCCATCGCAGAAGGTAGTCAAAAACGCTTTGATAGAAACAGAATAAAGCGACGAAGGAGAGTTGCCTTACATGTACCTTGCCTTATAGTCCGTTCTACGAATTAATAAAGAATTTGTACAGCTATAAGCAGTTCAGGTGTGCAATATAGATTACTAGCCACTCCAAAAGTATTCATTAATATTAGTTGCGACTTTCAAGAGAGGGTAAATCCACAATCAAATCTAATCAAGTCGTTGCAAAAAGAGTTGGGACAATAATAACAATTAAACTATAGAAAATATTTTCTTGGAGCAACAAAGCAGTTTTCGCGCACAGCTACTAGATATATAGAGGCCCTGCGTTTGCTAGGAGTTTTGATGCGAGGACGAAGAAATGCCATTTAATATGCGTCATTTAAAACGAGTTAATAAGGTCGCTGTTTAGAAAGAAAATGACGCCAAACAGGCATGGTCATTCCCCGCTATATTATCTAATAACTATATGGGTTTTTGTGAGAAAATAAAAAACCGAATTATTTTTGGTTGGTAAATTGAAAAACAAGTGCCTTACTTTTTTTGAAAAACGTCTCTTGACGTTATGAAAGTTGATGAGCATTCATGGAAACCCCTTATACCCAACTACTAGAAAAATGCCCAAAGAACAAACGCATAAAATTACATCAAAGAGCCGTGAATCTGCCAAATCTAATTCCAAACTGAAATCAAGTTTTTTAATTAACCAACCTGTTTCCTTGACAGTCTAGTAGTCCTACTTCCTTGTATCACAATATCGTTTGAAGTGATGTCCATTCTTTGTTCCCATCCACTTGACGGGTCCCGCTCTTGCTGCTCAATAGTAGTCTGCAGATGAGATATACAAGCTGCCGAATCCATGTACAGAAAACAAAGATTCACTTTGTGACATGATATTTTGCCCCTGTCATCTAGAGCGATGATTATCTTATGTCGGAGCAACTGCTTGTTGACTTGAGCCAGACACCTTTCGAGATTCCGTTGCAGTTTGAATTTTAAGTACATTGAGAGAAAAATAGCTGCCGCATTAAGTACAAGCCAGCCAATACCTAAACCGAAAAGGGTCAGTCCGCTTGTACCAGAAAATAGCAGACTAAGGAGTACGATAAAGGCGAGGGTTATCCACGCAACCAGTATTCGTTTGTAGCAGACGTTGTATAGTGTAAAACGGACGTCATTGACCAGTAGTTCCATGGTTTGAACGTATTCTTCGACCGTAAGCTGTAACAGTACAGTGTTACATGCGCAACGGCATTTAACATGATTATCTAATTTTTTAATTTGAAAAGTTCTAAAAATGGAGTTGTAACATCAAAATAAAGTTAAAAATAAAATTCGTGTAGAGGAGGCCAATGTTGTAGCTTTCTTTATTTAATTATTTAACATTTAAATTTAATTAAAAAAAACAATGCAATTTGATTTTGATCTTCTGACCCCTGTGTTAGAACTTGACTCTAATTAAAGCATTACCAAATATTCTTGCGTAAAAATAAAAAACTTTTAATAAAAAGGTCACAATTTTTTTTTATAAAAGATTGCTAAAATATTTATTGGCCAAGTGATAAGCCAGCCACTATTTCGGTATATCAAGCCATTAAAAAAGTAAAAATGTCGCCAGTTTTAAATAAACAACCTCAGAAAATCCGCAATAATTTTTTTCTTGCCAAAATTATCAGTAAACTGTTCACTGATGTTGTTTGCTTCCCTCATATGACTTTAATTTATAACTACTGATAACGAATGGTGTAATTAAAATTTTATTTTATTATACGGGGACTTGCTAGAAATATCAACTTAGCCCTAACCTATCACACCAATGTTTATGGTTTTAATGGTTGCACATTTCTGTGGGTAGCTTTGCAAAACACTAATTTTTAACCATCCAGCTTTCAATATCTAATAATTAGGAATTTTATTTCTTAGTAGTAGGGACCAAGTTGCTATTGTTTCCAATTATGTTCTAATAAAATTCTTTGTTTGCAAGTAACATTAGTTTTATAAAACTTTTCCAAAAAAAAAACGTACAGTTAATCCCTGAGCCATCAATTCCTCTGGTACCAACTCTGGACGGAATAAGGCTGGAGTTATCCATGGAAAACGAGAATTTACAGGCAACAAGGTAACAATTACATCACCATTAGCTAGAATAACAAAGTCCTTGTTACACTATTCATTTCATATACAATTTTAAAATGGAATTCTTACAGAATCCTTGTCGAATAGGTTCGACGGTGGCTACGGGCAGTTCCACATTCCTCAGCGGTTTTGGGCCCAACACTGCTACATTATTACTGGGACTTTCGGCTGATTTGCTTAGACTCCTTTCCAAAGTAATCTGGACAGTTTCCGCGGAAATTACAGCAGGGCTATCTTTTTTTTTTTTTTCATTTTCTTCATCAAATGTAACCCACCCCTTTACTGGTGATGGATCAGAAGCGGGAGCCACACTGCTTCCCTGCCCTGTTTCTTGTTTGGCGTCGATCCCTTCACCGCTCATTTTATCGCTTAAAGTAACCCCAACTAATTCGAACACATTTCGCTGAAAGACCTAATCTTCGACTAATCACAAATTTTTATACGTTATTTCTTATCAAATATGCGAACCGCGCTGCACACCGAAAACATAATTGGGAGGAGGCCTTCCGCAGGTTTGAAGGTACGTGAGCGTTTTTAACTTAACATTAACCCCACCATGCTCACTAATTTATTGCAGCGGCGACGCAAAAACGGTTATCACGGGGATTAATTTTAGGTGAGCTGGCAATTTGGTTTTCTTTCCAATTTCATTCCGAATTCCAATGTGTCACAGAATATAAAAGAATAATTTGTGTACTCAAGTAAATACGGATACTTATGCCAGGATGCCAGGCGCCAAGTGATACGTGCCCTAAACCTGATGGTTACGAGACAAATGGTAAATTGGCGCTATTTCATAACCAGTTAATAATAAATTGCTGCGTCTAATAGTCTTCTACTTTTTTAAAAATCAGACTTCAGAATTGATTTATCAATATGTGTTCTGTGGTTGATTGATTCTGTCAACAAACCTGTGTCACAGATTTGACACTTACATTTGGAATGTCATCTGATGCCGTTGTTTTTGTGCACGTAGGATTCATATAATTTTTAAGAAAATGGTAAGCATTACAATTTGATTTTGTTATACCAAGTTAAAATCGCGATCTTAGTCGTTTCAGGACAAATTATCGGCTTTAATGGCTCGTCCCGGTCAAGATCCGGTGGCGAAAGACGATGTTCCTTGGTGGTTGAAGTTCGCTGGTCGTGGGGTTGGGACCCTGGCAGGTTTTCGTAAGTCCAAGAGTTAGCACCAATTGTTCGAATAAGTAATAGTTTTAAGTTGTTATTTTTTTAGTTGCTATTTTTCTCGGAGTTTGGGTGTGTACAGGAATAATTGTTGCCCAGGTAAACTCTCTGGTAGCCGGGATGTGGCAAATCATTGCCGGATTCATTCTTCTGTGTATTGAAGCGCCTTGTTGCTGCATGTTCATAGATCATGTGCAACGATTAAGCGATTTTATTGAAAGCAAGCCTTACTATATGCGTGCAATTGGTTATTTCATGTGAGTGACATTTGATATAATTTTTTTTATGGTTTATAAACAATAGTGTCATGTTATGAACATTAACTCTTATATCGGTGTTTATTTAGTTTGGCCATACCACCACTCTTAATAAGGTTTTCCATGGGCATATTCTTTGGAAGTGGTCTCATTTTTGCAACAGGAATCCTGTATGGCATGATGGCATTGGGAAGAAAGTAAGTACAATACCATTTTATGTGCTTAATCATCATCAAAAACTTTGGGGCTAACACATTTATTTTATGCTTACCTTTCATAATATTGGTGTTGCTGTTGCTTCCCTCTGTGTTTTCACTAACACTATGTTTCTAACTAAATCAAATAGAGGGTCTAGGCAAGATATGGCTGCGGTGGCTTCGCCACAATTGGTGACATCTCCTTCTGGTTTGGGCGCGCAGAGTGATCACAGAGCCACTCTTATGGAGGACCCGGATGTATGGCGCCCAACGTAAACTCTCTAATAAAAGTATAAGAATCTTCTGAAATTTATTTTGCTTGCACTTTGAAAAACATTATGAAAATATAGAAATGTAGAGGTTTTGCGTGCTGCTGCACTAGTCCCGGTTATTTTGTCTAGCATATTATAAAAACATTCCCAAAATGCTTTATTACACTCCTTTGCACATGTTATTTTATGATAAACATTCAACTCTTTTCACCATTTTTTTCAGTTTCAGTTTTTCAGGGATGAATAACCTATAAAATGGAAACTATTTGTTACCAAAATTGATGGGAAATCCTATTTCCCATGGCCTAACCAAACCAAATTGTTGCATTGTCCAAAATGGAACTGGCAGTTCATTTTCTAGGTTATGAAATTGTGTTTTTTAATTTAAATTAATTGCTCATAAACTGTTTGTTGTTAATGTTACATGTTTGTTTTGCATCCATAGATTCTGGAAAAGATACCTGTACTATTTTCTTAAATTGTTTTTGCCTGATGCTTTCTGAGTGCCATTTTTATTAGAGCAGCGTTTTTTTTTTGTTACTTTTCCCAATATTTGTGTGTGCCCATTAAACTTTAACACGTTTGAATTTTAGAGCAACTGCGGAGGAGATGCGGCAAGCTGCAGCTGCGCAAGACTCCAGCAGACCAACCAACATGCGTTCCAATCTGGTCGCCAATGCTCAGCCAATCAGTTTAACCGGAGCTCCCGTATTCGACAGTAACGTATGATGTTATCTGTTTAGGTTAGAATTTCATTTTGCTGTGGCTCTTAGTATCGTATGAGAAGGCCTATTTTTGAAGTATCGGAAGAAATGTGTCGGTTCTTCATATTAAAAAAGTTGTGTGATTCTCGACTTAAATTGAGTCATTCCAGCTATAAGTTTCTTCCCTTTCTAAAAAATGTTTATGATTCATAATAGACAGGGTATACATTTTCTATTTAGGAAAATTTGGTTTTGTTGTAAAAAGCAAGGCACACACACACAGACACAAACATTCTGATTAAATGTTGCTAAGTAGAATAATGAAGTAACTTAATTATTGATAGAATCTAGTAGGTACCCATTCCGCGACGAAAAAGTGTTTTCCAATTTGATATAGTATTTATTTTACTATTCCTTCCGAGTTATGTGATGGTTTTGCCAAAAACAGCATAATTTTTCAGCTATTACTAATAATTTTGAAGACTGTTTTATATTTTATACAATTAATTTATATTATAGTCTACACTGCTGTTATATTTTATTGTTCTTTTGTTGCTCAAGGGTAATTTTAATTTGTATACATAAGGTAGTGAATGTTATGTAAGTAGTCAGAAGTTCATAATATGTCAATTGATAATAGGTAAAAAAATGCATTCCTTTCTCAGTAATGTAGACAAAATTAATTTCCGTGATTTATCGTAATTTTAACATATCTGACGTGGGAGTCTGCGTTGCCCCGATTTTTAGGAAAATTATTGCCCCATTACTTACTAGTCAGTGATGAAATTATTTTTTCGAGATCGAGTCGCACCCGCCGGATATCTTGAAACCGTTGGGGCGTGTGCGTTAGTTCAATTGTTCATGTCAAGAGGCGTTGTTAGGTAAAGCATTGATGTATGTTGTATCGCCCAGTACGAGTCATAATTTATTAGATGTAATTTGAGAGAATTGGAGAAGAGGTGGTGTGTTCTCCAACTGGATCTTGATTGAGGTTACAAAACCGATTCTCGGACACACCACGTTATTTTTCCGCCGTTAGTTGAGGTCTTCTAATGTTATATACATATTTATTCTACCGTAATTTACATGTTAAGTCAATAAATTATAATAATTATGATTGCGGCGTTTGATTTTTTGTTTTGTGGACTGTTTATGTCTTGAATTCTCAAGTGCATAGAACGTGGTTAATTTAAAAACAAACAACACACAAAAATAGCCTTTGTAATAGTTGAAGATTTTTGTGCGCATGTTCCAACCTCTGCCAGGTTTTTTCAATCGCCTTACAAATTTAAGTATTTAATATTACATACCATTGTTTTCAATATAATGAGAAATAAAAAAGTTACAAAAGTAACGTATCTATATCTGTAATGGGTGAAAAATGAAGTCAAATTTTCAAAAGAGTGGTTTGCGAGATAATCTTGACCTAGCAAAAATTTGACGGATAAAAAACTGTTGAGTTTTTTTTAAATTTTATTTATTTATTTAATTCTTTTTAAATATTATATGCCAAAACATTGTGTTTATTCTATGTACATCAGTTGTTGGCGCTTTCAAATTATCATGAAAACAGTTTCACTTTTGATAGTAGTATAAAAAGTTTGTAAATGTATATCTTACTATTTAGGAAATAATAATAGAGTATTTCTCAAGGAGTGAAAAATTCTATAAAGAGCTCTGGTTACGCTAACTGACAATTTTGGTATCTATGATCCCATCTACTAAATTCGCAAACTAGACTATTCCAATTTATCTACTATACGCAGTGAATTAATTTGAATAAAAATACAGTTTTACCTTATATGAAAAGTCTAATCCTCACCTCCCAACTAACACTTCAGCACTCATAGCACTAGGAATGCGTTTATACCATAGAATCAACTAATGAAGCAACATCAATCAATTTTTCATTTAATTTTATGGGTAAAAGAGTTGTCAATAATTGTAAAAAGTGTCCGACACTTTCATATTGCCGCTTTTTATACATGGCGGACACACTGCGCTGAGCGAACTATTAAAAGGACTAGGGCCGCACCTGCGGTCGTGTTAACCATGGACTCAAGAGTCCCAGATTACACACATCTTGGTTGGTTCTGGACAATCTGTGTTAGCCAGAATAACAAACCTGGCAAACTTTTATACAGTGACGCCACACAACAGCAAATAAATGTGTAAATAAACTCACTAACGCAAGTTGGTTGATACTTAATCGTTCTTAACTAGCGTGGGCAAATACGATAATAAAGTTAAAGCGTATATTTGCAAAAAATAGTGACCACTTATTCGTTTATCCTGTAACGACATACTCCAATATTAATTTGCTACAAATATTTGGTTATACAGGGTGTTTCAAAACAAAAAAATGGAAAACTTAAGAATTTGATTCTTTGTTTAAAATAAAGGGTAGTTTTTTTTGTAAACGTTAGGGCAAATACAACCATTAGGAAAATATCGCGCTACAAAATTTGCTAAAAATAATGTATTTATTTTTTATCTTAAAAGGAAAATATTTATTTATTTATTTAATCAATCAAATTTCAATCAGTGAGCGTCAAGTTTTTTAAATAAATAATAAAAATTAAATTATATAAATAAAAAAAAATATTAAAAATTATAAGATTTTAAACGAGCCAGGGTGTGAAAACCATCTATAAAGTAATTATTGGGAAGAGCAATCCAGGCTCTGACACCTGCCCTCAAAAACGAATGAATGTCAAAAAACAGGTAATTTTGTTTTGATTTTCTCTTAATGAGTCTCTGCAGTCAAGGGTACATTTTTTTTAAAGAGGGTATGTATAATATCTGAAATTCCCAAATTCTTTGACTATCTTGTTTACAAACAGTTAAACTCGTAGTGTAGATGTGAAATATGGATTTTCTTAAAATGGCCACAAATTTTTTGAGTTACAAAGCAGATTTTAAATAGTCTTGAAGGTAATAAGCAAGTACCGACCACACCACAGTATTTGATCGGGTAAATTGTTGCTTTTTGGTTTCAATTCCCAGTTGGTACAATTGTCACGCAACAGCTTCACTTGGCGAACGTAGTGTGTGAAGGTGGCTTGTTACTTTTCTGATATAATTTCCTTCACTTCTGGTATTCTTCAGGGATGGTATTGCTCACACCTCTCTTATTTAATATGCTTAATGCTTAAATGCTTAACATTTGCTGATGACAGAAAAGCTTGGGAAATAATTTAGAGGGCAATTAATTAGGAGCTTTTACAGTAGGACCTTCATCGTTTGTGTGCTTGGTGCCAGGAGAACAACCTGGAGTTAAATGTAGAACCAGCTTTTCTCGTAAAGTAATTAAAAGCGAGACTAGGTTTTTCTTAAATAAAGAATAGCTACAAAGAGTTTTTACCGTGAAAGATCTGGGAGTTATCCTCGATGGTTATCCTGTAAGTTCAAGAATTATTATCAGAAACTGTCAAAGTTTTTTCATTCCTTCTACCCGACTTGTTTAATACACTTTAGTAAGATCAATAATTGAATATTGTTCTGTGGTTTGCTCTCCTTATTTTCAGATCAACATTAATGCATTTGAAAGAGTTCAGAGTAAATTTTTGGGCAACTGTTCACTACCACCTCTCAGCATCCGGAGAGTTCAACTGGGGGTGAAATTTATTTTTAAACTGATGCATGCAAGATTGAAGGATTGAATGTCCCTATCTGCTGGATAGGTTAAGCTTTCATTTTCTTTTTCCGGGTCTCAGACACCAATATACTTTTAGAGTTAAATGTTACAGAACAATAAATGGTGAAAACTGTCTTGCCATTAGACCTAGATATATTTAATATTACATTAAGTCAGTTTAAGAGTTATCTTAGGAGCTTGTAATCTTAGTAGATAAAAGCTATGATTTGTTAGTTTTTTCATTTTAGAAAAAATTTGATTATTGGGATTGAAAAATGGGAAAGATTTTTTTTTGTAATTTTAAGCTTGTACTAACGCAGTCTAAGTTGTACATTGTACAGATAATGGGAATAGATATCTCGTAAATAAATCAATTTTATTTTACGGGAGGGGACTATGCCAAGTGAGATCTTGGCGAAACGTCTGCAGGATTCCAGTCGGAGTTCAACAAACAAACGGTTGATATCCCGGAGTATAGTGTCATCACATTTTTTTATTAGTGAATCAATACGTGAAAAAAAAAAAAAAAAAAAAAAAATATATATATATATATATATATATATATATATATATATATATATATATATATGTATATATATATATATATATATATATATATATATATATATATATATATATATATATATATATATATATATATATATATATATATATATATATATGATGACACTATATTCCGGGATATCATCCGTTCGCTCGTTGAACTCCGACTGGAATCCTGCAAATCTTGCATCCGACTGGAATCCTGCAGACGTTTCGCCAAAATCTCACTTGGCATCTTCAATGCTCGCGCTCCGAAAACACTTCGAACACTCGAAGTTCGAAGTGTTTTCGGAGCGCGAGCATTGAAGATGCCAAGTGAGATTTTGGCGAAACGTCTGCAGGATTCCAGTCGGATGCAAGATTTGCAGGATTCCAGTCGGAGTTCAACGAGCGAACGGATGATATCCCGGAATATAGTGTCATCACATTTTTCCATCCGTGAATCAATACGTGAGAATATATATATATATATATATATATATATATATATATATATATATATATATATATATATATACCGTTTTCAAAATGAAAATTTATTAAACAAAAAAAACTAGGGGGTGCTGTCACTTTTTAAGGCATGTATTATAATTACTTTATTTGACATTGTTCAGATTTAAATACCTTGGATTATTGTATCTGAGAATATCTATAAGAACTACAGTACTCCAATACACAATATCAAAGTCCTAAAAAGTCGGATAATTGTGTCTTGTAATATATTATTATTACTTTATTTGACATTGTTCAGATTTAAATACCTTGGATTATTGTATCTGGGAATATCTATAAGAACTACAGTACTCCAATACACAATATCAAAGTCCTAAAAAGTCGGATAATTGTGTCTTGTAATGCCATAAGAAATAATCCAGTCGTAATCCATACAGGTTATTACCAATTCTAAGAAGCATAGGTTATTTGTGGTTTTTTTATTTGGATAACATTTTCTAAAGAAAGTATTTAGTCATAGTTTATAGAAATGTTTATTAATAAATTATTTTTTTCTACTGCCGTCTGTAAAATGTCTAATTACGATCTAGCATGAAGGAAGCATCACTTTACCACGTCAGTTTCGTTTCCCACGGATCCGAGCCACTTCGGATGTTTCGGATGATAAACAGAGAGAAAGATGTATTACTGGATATGTCATATAAACAACAAAATTTGAAAATGTTATGTTGTTTATTTAACTTTTGCAATTGATCATTAAGTAGTTTATTTGAAAAAAAGACTATAATTGGAAAAAAATCATCCAAGGATAGGGCTTTTAAGAGTATTAAATTTGTAATATCATATAATCATATAAGCAAGAAAAATTAGGTCCTAAACTTCAATTTTTTTTGCTTGTACTCGTACAATTGGTCTTGGCAATATATTAATATAAACACTGTACAAAACCACTAAAGTTCAGGTGAACTGTAAGTAAAATTTTTGTGGAAACTTAAATTAGAAATATCACTTTGCTTACTGACTAGTCCACTAGATTTTAATTGTGAAATGTAGTATTTAAATTGTCTGATATGTTGCATAACATTTTTCTGTATATTTGCTTTTGGGTACATTTTTGCAGAACAACACGAATACATTCGACATGACCTTTAGAATTGACAAACGTCAAAATTCAAACCGTGCGGTAAAATCTTCGAAAACATCCGATTGCTCCCAAACCCGTGCCGTAAAATCCCGGAAATGTCCGAAGTGGCTCGGATCCATGAGAAACGAAACTGACGTTGTAATGTGACGCTTCCCGCATACTAGACCGGTGTGTAATTAAGCATTTTACAGACAGGAGTAGAAAAACTTTTGAACTCGTTCGTTTATTAAACACTCGCTTCGTTCGTGCCAAATAAACTCGAGGGTCAAATGCCGTTTACCGCACTTGTTGCATAATTTACTATTAAAATGTAATTAAAAATGTAAATAAAAATAAAATTGTTTAGAACAGAATTAATAAATGTTGGTACAAAATCCAACTTTACATTTTATTTTTTTATATGCAAGCTGCAAGTTATATGAAATAATTGCTCTAGACAAAAAAGTTTCTAATAAACCCATATATAGAAATTTATTTTTTTTGCATGTCGTTGTGTGTGTCCAAAAAAAAGCGAAAAGTATGTTTCTATGATAGTAATACTTAAGCAATAATGTTTTCAACAAGGATTCACCCCCTTAAGGTTTTCGCATTTGTTTTGCAACACCTTGTATATTAAGTAGCAGAGTGAGGTTAGAATTATTTTTTCAATTTTTTCGCTTTATAGTGCAATGAAGTCATTTTGTATTTAGGCTTGGTCGACCAGAGCCTTAAGACGACGTCGAACATCCAACGGTCTATACTTGTACATTTTATAATCGCTATAAAAAGTAATTGTCGTCAGCGTCGTCTTGTATCCATAAAGCACGGCGCAGCGCTTATAACATAGGAACAATGTCAATAAGCATAAATGGCAGCCAAAACATCATGTTAAGCATAAAAATTATACACAAATCCTTAAACTATAATGTTAATATTGGCGTAAACCGGAGAAGCCGGTGAAAAAGAGATAAATTATCTCTCGTCTTCGCCGGTCCTTTTCTCGCCTTGAACCGTCAACGTTTGCCATTTGTGGTTAAGTTAGGAGTAAAAAGTCACCCATACTAAACCCATCCAACCTGATAATACGTTTACACGCACGATACCACGCCGCGTACCTTAACCCAGTACGACATACAACACCATATCTTTTGGTGGGAGTACACCGTAATCGTTAAGAAACTATCCTTCGATTTCCAAGACGTCCGTTTATTGTTTAAACAACCGCGAGGGAAAAACATCGCGGTCGGCTGCGTGGCCCGATTACGCGTGCGTTTGAATTGTCGCGGCGGGAAATTCGAAACCCCACATACGGAATGGAAGACGGTATTTGGGACGTCACTTTACCCCCGATCGCGGTCAACGAGCTCGAATTTAACATTACGGATTTTGCGGTTTTGCAAGTCAATGAAAACCAGGAAGTCAGTGCCGTCGCTGATCCGGCCTACGAACAGTTTTTAGCCGACGTCTGGGTCGGTATAGTGCTGACTCTGATGGTGCTCAGTTGCGTGTGTTTCATGTGCACTTGTCTGATTTATCACAAGTTCCAGGAGTGGAAAAGTCGAGGTAAAACTAATAAAACAAACCCCACCTTCAAACTTGAGTTTATACATTTGTTTTTTCGAAGGGAGTATTCTATAGTTCGCTTGTGCTATTCATTATTATTTTATATATTATATTATTTATTTATTATTCTATTTTTTGAATAGATTATTAAACAAAACTAAGCATATGGAACTTCCTTGGCAGTATAAAAATTAATTTTATTTAAGTTGTCACAACCAAAAACGGGATGAGTTTGATTTGATAAAACCGCTAAATCAGAATTTGAAAATGTCTAATAAGTAGTTATATTATAACAAATTAAAGATAAATATTGACAAATCTAAATACAAGTTGTTTGAATATAAAAAATTAACAAATATATGTTGAAATAAAAATTGATGATATAGATTTACAATTTATTTGTTATCGGAGTCACTTACTGAGGAAACTATGTAAATTGCATTTCCGTTATTTAGTACCTATTAGGGAAACGTAATAGAACTACACTTAACAAAATGCTCGATATTCTGTTTAACCATTACATACTTACTACAGACCGATTATATCTTGAGGACATTAAGTCTGATTCCCCCCCACTCAACATCGATTCTGAACACATTCGATTTGCAAATGTCGACTAATGTAGCGAGACTATTATTATTACAATAATTAGCATAAATAACAATTGCTAAAAATGTCTATCTTGGACCTCTTGACAAAAGAACATCTGATTAGAGAATTCTTCTCTAACATTATTCACGCACATAATTCGATGATTCAGTGAGCAGAATAGCCACACTCTCGGACCTCGGCGACCAATCCACCTATCCGGATAAGTTACATCCATAATTTCTTACATAGTTATGCACTGTTAAGAGATTTAAAAATATGTTCACTAATTCCTAGTAATGCCTCTTAATTTTCAGTTTCAATTAATTCAAAATTTTTGTTAATAAAAATACAAAAATATTAGATAAGTCTAGTGCTTCAAATCCTAGTACGGTTTCCGTAATTGAAAGGTTTGTGATAAACGACATTATCGGAGGTACTCACATAGTTTGGTATTATGACAAAAACATATTTATACTACGCCTATAAAGTCAGTTAAATTAAGAAAGAAGTTAGACTAAAAAGAAATGTTCGAGAAGTCGTTTGAAAAAAATAGTTCAATGAATTAAACATTTCCTCTTAGGAAATATCAGACAAATTAATGCAAAGAGGTAAGAATTATATTTTTAAGCTAGCAAGTATTAGAACTTACTTAAGTTTGATTTTGCTTACTTATTGAAACAGGTACGACATCGACATTTGAACATCTTCCAAATACCGACAAATTTTAACAATCTTAAGTTAGTTAATATTTATACCGAGAGTGGTACAGTGCTTAGATGTGGACTCGTACCTAGAGTTCGAAGCTTTCCGAAACCATTTTAAAATAAAGTTTTAAGCATATTAGTTAAAAATACATTAAATTAAATTAAATTTGTGGCTAAGAAAAACTGACCAAAAGCAATTCCTTGACTAATTAAATTCGTAATACCTAGACAATTAGTACTAATAATTCGACTAACACCACCAATTCCTCTGCTATGGTCACTAATTGTACTAATTGTATCCTAAAATTCCTTACCCCTCGAGATAATGTATACTTTGAAATAAAAAAAGTTTAAAAAAGGTTTGAATTTTTGTTGTTTTTTATTTCGTTAATTGTTTATTTGTGGTTGCCGTCATTAAAGGGGAAACCCCCTTACGCAAATAACATATGCGAAAAAATACAGATTGCTGCCACGCTCTTTACCCTTCATTAATTTGTGTATGTAATTCGAAGTTTAATGCAATTAATTGGTTAATGATTTTAACAGGAACGATTCAACATTGCAATTCATTCTAAATTAGTTTTCAATTAAATACGCTCCATAAAATTTGTGTAAACCGTAATTATTAATTATTTGTTAGTATTGCAAAATTTGTCTCTCGCAAATGATCGAAAAGTTTGTTATTTACAATTTCAATTTGCTTAAAATCAAAATGGCGTACATTGCCAAAGAAAATCTTAACCGTCATTTAATTATTCTAGACATGAAAAGTATTCGTTTAAATCAGATGTGGTATAATATTAAAAAAAAATTAAATAAATACTTTAAATTAAGCCACTGCAAATCAAGCAATGGAAACAAATTTTTTATTTTTTAGAAAAAGCGATTTTGAAAATATCGTTTCGAAATTTCGTAATTGTTAAATCGGTCTACTTTATCCGAGACGAATAACAAATGCAGCGAAGCTTAGGCAATAAGCGCGTAGTATAATGCGCTTATCACGAAATGAAGAAATTCGAAATAGTTGCGTCACGAAAGTAAAAATAAACAACGCGTCTCGAGAAACGTTAAAACACCGTAATAACGCAAATGAAAAATAAAAACACCATAATTTTCCGGAAGAGTAAACATCGTGGCTCATTTTTCCCGTAATGTTAAAACGCTCGAAACAAAAGACCATTAAAATGTCAACCTTAATTTCACAAAAATTGCATCCTATTGTTTGCTAAATGTCGTTGCTCCTCAGTTTTACGTTAAAATAAAATACAAATAGTAATAAAATAATGCTTAGCTTGCCAGGCTTCATTCAGGGAATATTGTGTTTGATAGACAACATGTCTGTATGAATTCTACGACTTAAACATGAGCGTGCAGATTGTTTTTGCGTGAATACAATTTTCGATAGTCCGGAAAATTATGTTTGTTTTTCAAAAATTTCATTGCTGGGTGCTATAGGTGTATCAAAGTTAAACAATAAAATTGAAAAACGAATAATGTTCTTTAAATCAAATAAAAATCAAAACGCCTAGGAGTGTAGAAATACCAAAAATGTTTAATGTTGCTATAGCTTCCGAGTAGATCTGACAACACTTGCGAAAATTATTATTTACCACAAATGTTTATGTTGTTGACATTTTATAATGGTGTAAACTCTATGGATCTGGAGGATTGTGGGCCATTCCACAGCGTTCCCATAAGAAGGCAACCTTCTTTTTTTATTATTTAACTCTTTAATAACTGCTGACCAAAAAACTTTCCTTTCCATCACTCGTCAAGAGTGTGGAAATATTTATCAATCGTAATAAAAAAACTGTGATGGGTATGATATCTGTCTGTTGAAGAAAACTGGATTGTATTTTTAAAAAATCGGTACATTTCTGGAATAACCAAAATGTATATCAACTTATTAAGCGAGCGCAGTTTGAAGAAAGTTATTTCACTAAATATTCCAATATCGTGGCTTCCTAGATCCCCTGACCTTTCCCCCTGGGATTTTTTTAGAAATATCAACAGAAATATACTTGCTAGGGTTGTACGAAAAACAGTGATCAAATGCTAAAAATGTCTCGATGTAAATGGACGTCATTTTGCAAATCTGTAAATTATTAACTAATAATGATTAAGACTTAACTTTACAAAGTGTGATAAAATCTTTTGTGCACTTCCAATACGTCCGCCATAAGAAAAATGAAAGTTAAGGCTGCTTGTGAAGCAACCAAAAGACAATTGAGACACGTCGAACTCGCTATCTTACTCGTCGTAAAAGGCCCTCTAAATAATGTCACATTTTGACAGATGTCAATTTAACCGTTTCGGATTTATTGACGAAAAACGAAATTCGTCATTTTGGTGTAGCAGGGGAGATATCTGTATGGAGACGCGAATCCATGACACACTGTATATATTTTTTATTTACTAAAAACATTTGATAATGGTGAAAACTCTATGGACTTGGAGGATTGTGGACCCTCGACATATGCATCTCGAAATTAAATATAAAATTGACTAACGACTAAATTTTTTATTATGTGTATGAAAACAATGTAGAAAGCTATTAACAAAAAACAATTTTTTGTAGGATCTGAGTCGGTAGATAATAATATTATTTTTAAAAATTCAATGTTGCTATTACTTTCGGGTATATTTGACAACGTTGAATCTGCGAAAATCTTTTTGGAATACAGATTACAGTCCATATTAAAGATTCCATTTCTTAGTTCCTCATAACTTCTTATAGGACACTCAATTAAAATATTTTCTTAAGATATGTTTATATTTACCCCACTGGTTGGTTTGAAAACAATAATATTTATAAATTGTCCCACAAATATGTGCGTTTTTGATAAACAAAAATTTAGTTGGCGTACACAAATTGTCGCGTATATATACGAGACAAGGTTAACTATTTTTTTATGTACATTTTTTCAGCTCAATTTATAAGCCACGTCTTACGATTAAATAAGTAACATATTAGGTTTTTTAATCTCGTTTCGTGAGTTCTTCGCCTCTTTTCTATTCTTTGTCCCTGTCACTGAAAAAAAACAACACCTAATAGTTCAAATAAAAAATTGAAGAAATATTCCCAAAATTGGGAAGAAACAAATTTTAAACTATACTAATTACTAATTAATTATCCCGCATAGTATAGCTCCTACCCCCAAAAAAAAGTTTTGACGCCGCCACTCGCAGTTTAGAACTCGTAGTAAAACCATTTCGTGGGTCAAAAATTATAATATGTTTTCCAAGAACTACTTAAATTTTAAATTATGCAGATAATCTTTAAGTAAACAAGTTCCATCCGCAATTGGAAATTTGAATAATTTTATATTGCGCCATCTTGATACGAATCGACAAATATTATTTATAGGTGATTCTAAATAGACCACACGTTTTATTGATGTAGTGTGCTAATAAAATAACTCGAAGTGTACAAACAATGAACGCGGTCGAGTTGTATTTTCTTAAATTTAAATCTGTAATTGGAAATGCTTGTAGTAATGTTAAACTTAAATGTACTGCGATTCAACGAACTAAATTTATTTCGATTATATTGGCTATACGAATGAATTAGGCTTTGAGAGTTTTCTGTCTTGAGTGCATCAAATTTACTTTCACTTTGTTCCCAGGCCAATAGAAAGTGTTAATCACTAGATATGTTTGAATTATTATCAACGAAGTCGAAATAATAGGCGAAACGTCGAAAAT